CCCTTCTGCAGGACACAAGGGCAGGAAGGGGATGTCACTGCTTTAATTGTGTTCTCAGAAAGGTGATGTTCTTGAATGGCAGGCATTGAGATTTATTCAGTACTGCAGTCGGAGAAAGAAACTTGCTTCCATCGTGGTCTGGATGAAATGCCGAGAACTGATCAGTATTAAGATAATTATCCGTTAGTGTATTTGAATGTTTCTCCTGTTGGCACGACTAAGAGTAGCTGGCACCTGTGTGATGTAGATGTGAGAGCGCTTGCTTTCATCTGTCTGGTGGCAAATGTAGCCTGTACCTGGAAAGTTTTGCAGGTTTTTTGTAGAAATGATGGTGAATTTTTTTTTAATTAAAATCGAGGGTTCTCAGACGCTGCTGCCTCGGTGGAATGTCGTTTCTTTTTCAGGGCATGCCCCGGTTGCAGCAAGATGCTGCTTTTTTTGGTGCCTTTCTTGTCAGGATGATTCTTTTGGTTTCCAGAACACCCAGTGCGTTTGCTCTAATAGTCTTTCTCCTGGTCCTCTGTCCTGGTGACTCTGCCCTCTCCCAGCCTTGTGACTTGGTGTCTTCTCTGTCTGTTATGGTATGGCCTGACCTGCGTTTATGCCCTGCCACACCTTGAGTTCTGCTCAGAGTCCCTGAGGTACTGTCTTTCTCAAATTGGAATTAATAATTAATATAAAAAGCTTGAAAAAAAAAAAAATCTGAATTTTTTTTTACATAGTGTAATAACTGTTTGTAGATATTGTTCTGAGATGTAGGAATCTATTGGTGATATAAGAGGTTTTGTCTGTAAATAATCAGTTTAGAGTCCAAATGATTTTAATAAAGAGAATTCTTACACAATAATTCAATAAATTTTAATATACAACCTGAGTGTCATGTGTGTGTTGCACAATGAGGCAATTGCCCAACATCTATTCACCTTTTTTTCCTCCGAAGTGGAAATAGCGTAGTCCTGAGCACCAGGACCTGGGAGCTGTGCTGGGAACGTGGGGCTTTTCCCTCCTGCCCTTCCTCTGTGGTCCAGGAGATACGGACTGAGCTCCTTTGAGGTAACCTTGTGCTGCCTTCCACCAACACTCCTACATGGTGGCACTTCTGCAGTTTCCAGAGCTCAAATACCATCCCCAGCACAGGAGGGGAACCTCCCTTCACATCCCCTGCAGCAGGAGCTGGGCTGGAGCTGTGCGGGACAGTCGGGCAGATCTGTTCTGTGGCACCTTACAGCTCTGGCTGTGGTTTTCCACGGTGGGTGAGCGGGGAGGGGGTTGCTTGAGATCCAGTTTATGCTGATGGCTCTTGTCCACCAGCACGAGGCAGGAACCAGCATTCATGAAGTAGTGAAACAACTTAAATGAATTGCATGGTTCTTCCCAGAGGTAAAGCTGGCTCCTGGCCCATCTCTCCTGCCTTTCCCTCCGCCCTCTGCTTCCTTTACTAGCAGAGTTTGGATACAATCTGCTTCTCCCCAGTATCTCTGTAATGTCACTGCTCTCCTCCCTCCTTCCCATCGGGGTGTGTGCTCTCACTGGCCTTTTAGGGGTTACACACGGCTCGTCCTGGGGCAGCCTCTGCCCCTTCCCGTGTTATTTTTAGTGTAGGGAGGGCAGGTGAGAGGAGAGGGGCACAGGCAGGGGGGAGAAGGGCTCAGGGGCCCCCAGCCTGGGTCTGCAGCAGAGCTGCTGCTCGGCAGCCTTAACCCTTCACTTCGGGGCTGAGCGGGGAAACCTGAGCTGTGGAACAGCAGGGCCCCAGCGAGGGGGAGGCCAGGGCTGGCCCAGCTCTGCTCTGAGGCTGCGGCGCTTGGCAGGACGGGAAAAAATGGCATTTTTACTCCGTGTGGCCATTTGCTGGGCTGCCTGGGTCACACCTCGGGACTGCAGGGAGGATGCTGCTGTTGTAGTTGTTCTCCAGGAAAAGGGGCTGGGGGAAAGGTGGGCTCTGTGGTCACCAGCACCTCACTGCGATTGCACGTGGGTGCTGCTGGGGGAGGCTGAGGTGCCTCAGGATGGGCAGCGTGGCACTGGGTGGGCTTGGGGAGCCTGTCCCCTCTGCCAGGTGCAGGTTGGGGACCATTGTGCCAGGCAGGGATAGGAGACAGTGCCATGGCAGTGAGACAGGGCCACAGGTCCTGCTGACACACTGACTGGCCGGAGCAGTGGGAAGTGCCAGGCAGCCCCACGGTGTCTGGGGATGGTGGAGCAGAGGGGAAGGATTTCTCTGTTTCCATCTCGGCAGAGCTGTGAATTTCCCTCTATAAATAGTTGCTGTGGAGACTGTGGAGCTGCAGCAGGCTGACAGACCTGCTGCCACAGGAGGCAGGGAGAGGCAAGCAGTAAAGTGAATCCATCGCAGCTGTCCCAGCTCTCCTGCTCTCCTCAAGCCTGTTCCCAGAAGCGGTGCTGTGATCCGATACCCTGCCCTGCTCCTCACCACGTCCATCCAGCGATGCAGAAGAGTTGGGTCTGCTCAAGGACACCCCTCCCAGACAGCACAGACTAAAAGGCCAGCAGGACCAGCTGGTATCTCACTTTGGGGAGCTCCAGAATGAGCCAGATGACAAAGGGAGCGGCGTGTCCTGCCTGCGAGCTGCTGCACGGTAAGTTGGGACTCGGAGCCCCACGTGCTGATGGGGCTGCTTCTCTGCTGCGTGTTGTGACTTGCAGGGGTGCAAGGGCTTGTCAGGTCTGTGCTCGTGCAGGAGATGAAGGTGTGTGTTGCTCTGGTGAGCTCTGCCACTCCAGAGGTCCAGACGTTATAAAACATGACTGGTGGTGGGCAGCTCCTTACACCGTTCTGTGCAGGTCAGGTGGAGTTGTCCAGGCCAGAGGTGGAGCACCACTCCATGCCCGTGGCTCTCGGACCAGGCAGGACCAGTATGTTTTTGGGCTGAAGTTCTCTGACCTGGTCCAGGCCCGCAGCAAGTTAGTAGGTTCTGCACAGCGTAACTTTGAAAGCCAAAGGCAAAATAACAGTTGGCTTTAATGTAAAGGTGTCAAGCGATGAAGGACTTTAAAGCGTTGATTGTCCTTTATCACAAAGCTTTAAAAAGTATGTTCCACTCTCCTATGCCAAGTTGCATAGCAACGCTCCTCATCCTCTGCCAGTGCATCCATGGAACAAAGGTGGATGGAGGTGAAGTCTCACGTGCTTAAGGACGGACTTGCCTCACCTTTGCAATGAGAAGGACACTAGGGCCTGGTGAGCTGCCCAAAAGCTCCATCAGCCCTAGTGCTAGGACATGTTTTATACCCTGAGTGTGTCTTTGGGTCCTACTTTCCCACCAAAGTCTCCTATCACCATAACAATCCACCTGGGGAAGATGCTGTTGAACTCCCATCTCCACATACTCTTGAGTTTTTCTTTGGCAGGTGAATGGTGGGTGACATCTTAAAATCTTTAAGTCTGTTGCCCGGCTCTCCGATCAGCCCCTGCTCTCCTAAGGACCTAAGTGAAGAGGGCTTGGCTGGATTCTGGTGGTGCAGGAGCTCATGAGGTTGCTGATGTGCTCAGTCTGTGCACAAATAAGGAAAACATTGATTTCACCTCTGTTTCACAGCTAGGATATTATTATTTGCTGAAAAGAGTGGTCCTACAGGTATGCAGCATCCTGGAGGTTTATTCCTAAAAATGACTGATTCTGAACAGTGTAAATGCCCCAGTTAGAGGTGTAAAAATATAGCAAGGGGAAGGGATTTTGAGATCCTTTTGGACTGCTATATGGGCTTGGGTGAACAGAGCAATGTCAGCTCGGGCAATGTGGGGTGTCCCTGACACAATCAGAGCCTCGAGCCCAGTCTGACTCTTAATGAGAACCATGATGGGAGCTTGCTGGGTGCCCAAAGGCAGGCTGTGTCTCTGGCTGCTGTGCTGGGAGAGGAGCATCAGCGTGTGGAAAGAAACTTTTAGTCTTTTGAGGAAGTCACAGCTCTGTCTCAGCACCTGGAGGATGTTACTGTCCCATCAAGTGGCTCCCGCTGCCACCACCACTGCCAGCCCACTGTAACTATTTCTGAAAATCCTCCAGTGCAGACGAGCTCTTAACTTTAGTGACCTGATTTGAAATATTTAAAGGTCAGTATTTCTACCCGTGCTAATGGTCTACTGGGATCATTATCCCCTGTCACGAGCTCTGGCAACGCGCCTTAACCTGAAGCTTTGGCCATACAGCAAGTGACATTTCCAAACTATGAAAGGCTGGGTTGGGAGAACCCCAGCTGCAGCAGCTTACATCTACATTTCCATTAGCAACGCAGGCTCTGGGCTGCTATTTCAGGTGCTGAAGCCAGTTCTACGGGGGGACAGCAGTTGCATCAGTCTGTCTGCACTGTCTCGGTGTTTGTACCCTGGGCTGTCATAGTAACAAACCCTGGGAACAGCTTCTCCCTCCAGCACAGCCTCTTGCTGGGGTGTCATAGGACAGTCGGTGATAAATCCGTGCTCCAGCCAAGGGCTGGGCTTGCAGACAGATGTGCAGTGTCTAAAATCCAGGTTCTGCTTTGCACCCATCTGGTCTCCTCCTGCCAGCAAAAGCCAGGACATGTCCCCTCCTCAGCTGGTGATTTCCCCTGCTGTGGCCGTGAGAGGGGATCCCACATTCTCCACTAAGCCCCTGAAAATCCACATTGGGCACAGGGAAACCTGAGACTCCCACCTGGCTCTGGCCTGGCTGCACACCACCAGGATCCCTGCCCAGCCCCAGCCTGCCAGCTTTCCTCTTTTGAACTCTTAAAATAATCCCCGACTCCGTGAAGTGCCAAAAGCCCTGGGAACAGCCCGGCTCCAGGGGCCGATGAAGCAGGTGGGAAGGAAGAGGTGAGGGAAGAGCAGGGGTAGAATAGGGAATCCATGTGGCTGGTGTGCAGCAGAGGTGTGGCTGCCCTGCAGCTCCAAATCTCTTTGAAGGAATAAAGTGCTGAAGATCTCACCACCTGCACCCCACGCCCCGGTTCCCACTGCTGCCATCCCTTCGAGCCAGGATCTGCTGCAACGCTGGGCCATGGAGGAGCGGGCGCAGGAGGTGCCGGCAGCCCAGCGCACAGGTGAGTCCTGGGGCGTGCAGCTCCGGAGCTGAGATCATGCCAGGCTCTTCCCAGACCAGAGGAGGCTGCCAGGACCTCTCTGGCCATTCCTCCAGGAGGACAGCTGTCCTCAGCCGCTCTTTCGGTCCAAGAGCATTTAGAGATGTCAGTGTTGTCTCGTGATGGTCCCCACAGGAGGCCACCACCCCGTGCAGGAAGGAGAAGTGTTCAACACGCGATACCAGGCTCTGCGCAAGCTGGGCTGTGGCGCCTTTGCCACCGTCTGGCTGTGCCAGGACATGAGGTGAGGGGCTGACCAGCTTTTGGGGAGGTGGGAAGGGGTGGCTGATCTCCTGGGAATGCAGCTGCCTGCCCCAGAGCACTTCGGCATCCCCTGAGCACAGGGTAAACCTGGCAGTGAGACTGGTGGGGTACAATGAGCGGAACTGGTCCCCAGAAACCAAAGAACATAAATGAGGTGGGCTCAGCCCTTGCTCTGTGTTGGCTCTTCTCGGTTAGACCCTGCAGTATCCATGCTCAGCCCTTTTCCCTCCAGCCCCTTGCTGGTCTCTGGGGCACCTGTGCTGCCTGATGCCAGCAGCATCACCAGGAGAGATGCCCACGTTCTGGCGTGCAAGGCTGGTTGCAGGTGGGCAGGGCTGGGTGACTGGGAGAAGGGGAGGTGCTGCTGGTTAGGGCCACGCTGGTGTACGCTGGCTGACATCTGTGATTCATTTCCCAGGAGGAAGAAACACGTAGCCCTGAAGGTCCTGAAAAGCAGGGAGAGCTCTGCTGAGGCTGCCCAGGATGAGGTCGCTCTTCTCCGCTGTGTATGTATATTCTGGGGCTCTGTGCTTTGCTCCACAGGAAGAGCCACTGAGTTCAGGTCTGAGTGTCAGCCTCATCGTCCCTTCTCCCTCCAGGTCTCAGTCTGAGGAGCTAGGTGGGGAACAGGAAAAAAACAGAAAGTTAGGTAATTCATAGAAATTGCCTTGGCTCAGTGCTGGCCCCTGAAATGGGCACCTTCTCCCTCCTGTCACACTGGGAGAGGTGGCTGTGGCTGTGTCCCCCTTGCCCTGTCAGCCCATTTCTTTCAGCTGAGACAGAAATCCAGTAAAAAGGAGGAACCTGCAGAAAGATAAGGTGGATAACCATCAGAAAAAAGTAGTAATGTTGTCTTTAAGTTGGAGATGGGAGTGTTTCCACTGTATTTGTGTCGTTCCCAGCTCAGAGGGCATTGATCTGTCACAACACTGATACTGAAGTTAAAGGAAATATCTGCAAAAAGAAAAAAAAGAAGCAGGATGTAGCAAAAATGAAATAAACCTCTGAAGTCAGAAAGCTTCCTCCTGCCTTTGCTAATGGATGTGGTAATTAGGTGCCTGTATCTGGGTCTCAGCTAGTTGCCTTTGAAGGTGACTTGAGCTGCTAGTTCTAGAAAGCTCCTGGTTACAGTTCTTCGAGTTTGCCTAAATATGAAGTTACATCAGCTTTAGATGAGTAAAAGCCATTAAATTTTGCATTTCAAATTACTCTGAGGCCTTTCTCCCAACAGGTTTGGGAAAGGTTTAGTTTGCACCTGTAATTCTGTAGACCTTATCAGAAGGGACGTGAGCTCGACTCAGTGATGCAAGAGGAAGTACCAAGTGGTACTAATTTAATGTAATCAGAGCACTGGTTTCCTGCACATCAGCACAATCCTGCGTGCAGACCGAGCCTTCCCCTTGCTGGGCTACTGATTCCCTCTGAAAGACTCGCCTTCTGTTCAGCAGAATGCAGCAGGTTCCCAGGGCTGTTCCCACCAGCACAGGGTGGTCAGTGCCTGCAGGAGAAGCCATCTGGTCCACCCTGCTGCCAGGGCTGCCCACCCCTGTCACACCCACACAAACCCCCCGGTGCTGGTGCAGGCGGATCCGGCAGCTGCCCAATGCTCCAAACCAAAATCACAACAGTTATGGATGTGAAAAGGGAAAAACAAGGATGAGTGTCTGTCCCAGGATCAGTGCTCTGGGGGAGCAAACTCCCGGTGCAGCTTGGTCCACAGGAGAACAGTGCTGGTGCAAGATCAGGGGTACCATAGCCCCTGTGCTTGGGGAGACTCGGGGTTCACCCAGCCCAGCACCCTGGGCCCACAGCAGATATCCAGACGGGTGTACAGACAAGTGAAGCACAGGGTGCTGCTCCCACCGAATGCTCCCCTGCCCTACAGCAGTTTCCAGCTGGAGATCTCTTGGGCCAAGGGTGAGGTCTGTGTGGGCAGTAACTCTCAGCAGATTTACCTCCAAGAGACCTGCCCTGCTTTCCTGTGAGCCTGTGTGGGCTCCAGCACACACAGCCCCTGTGACAAGAACTGCCACCAATTACCCACATGCTGCGTGAAGAACCATCTCCTCTGCTTTGTTGCTGGACCTTCCAAGTGCTAGGTTTGATGCCAGCTGGTTCTTGTATGAAAGATCTACATTCATGCCCTCTGCCACCACTCTGTATCATAGATCTCTGCAGTACTTGCCCATAGCCAAGCCTTATTCAGCCCATAGAGACCTACTTCACTGGGTTCCTCCAGACACAGAAGCTGCTCTCTAGCCAGGTAAGACAGGTAGCCTTCAAGTGGACAAAGACAACCAGAAGGTCTCTGCCTTTCTGCAACCCCTTGCAAGAAACTGCTGAAGGGAAGGTGTGTGTGTTTTAAAAGGCAATGTCCCAACCTGCTGCTCTCAGCTGGGGAGGGATGGGGCCATCCCCGCTCTGAGGACAAGGAGCAGAGGCTGCAGAAGGGCAAAGGAAGCGGATGGTCATTGCTTCTGGGAGCAGGGAGCTGTGGTCTTGGAGGAATCCCCTTCCAGCACAAGCAGGAGCACTTTCTGAGCCTGCATGGGGTAGAATGAGCAGTGGGAAGTGTGCTAGATGTTATTAGCAGGATCAGCTTGAGTCATTTGGACACTGTGAGGGTGATGGTCCCACCTGGTCAAGAGCTAGACAACATACAGAAACTCATTCCTTGGTAACAGACTCAGCTTGTGTGTTTAGAGCCTGCTTTTCTCGATGCTGTTTTCATGGGATTTGTCATGAAGTGTCAGGTCCTGGAAGAGAAAGTCTGTACAACAGGATAAACAGGCACAAGATGTCCTTCTGCATATATATGCCTCTAATTACAGTTTTCTTGGAATTGTCCCCATCAGGTGAGCAGTATGAAGAAGAAGGACCGGGCAGGAGAAAACATTGTCTGTTTGTTAGATGACTTCAGAATGATTGGAGAGAATGGTTTCCATATCCTTCTGCTGAGAGTGCTGTGGCTCTGGGTCAGCAAAGCCTGGGCTTGCTTTGGAGAGTCACAGGATGGTATAAAACCACCAAGGGCTGTGCTCTGATGAGGAGGATGAGCAGGGCAGGGGCTGGACTGGGACACAGGGAGGTGACTGGAGGGGAGAGGTTGGATAAGGAGATACTTGGCTTCTCTGGTGAAAGGCAAAAGGCTGGTGGTGGCATCTCCTCTCTGTTAGTGAATCCCTGACTCTTTCCCAGATGTGTGCTTGGTATTTGAGGCGCTGGGTCCTTCCCTGCGATGTCTGATGGGAAACTACACGGCCCGGGGACTGCCTTTGCCTTTTGTGAAAAAGTCGTTACAGCAGGTGAGAACCTGGCTGGAGCTGGGTGAGGGCACCAAGGGACTGCTGGCTGGGGAACATGCCATAGCCTTAATCCTGGGGCATCTGCCATGAACTCCATGACTGCATCTGCAAAGCAAGGGACAGCACAGAGTGAGTGCCCAAGGAATGCTTTTTTTTATTTAGGAAAACAGTAACTATTTATTTTGGGGATAAGGAGAAAAAACATTAAATATAATGCAGAGTGAAAAGTCATCATGTTCCCATGAATACGGGCACACTGCACGTTACTGCCCAAGCCTGTAGTCTCACTGGGTTTGGGAAGGAGTCAGGACCACCACCATGCAGAGTTACCCCCCTGCAGACCCACACCAGGGATCCAGGGGTGGCACTTGTGTTCCCACCATCTCAGGGATCATTGAATTCTCCAGCAGTTCTGCTGCTCGCAATAGTGGGGGACAAACCACCTGCAGGGGACAAACAGCCCACTGGAATTACGCTCCTTGTTGGCAAACCCTGTATCTCTCTGCCCTCCTGCTGCTCCAAGAACCTACCTCGGGCAGCAATGCCAGGCAGCTGGTGTTCACCTCAGCATCCAGCCACAGACAGCACTGGCTGGTCTGGCAGCTTTCTGCAGGGTACCACCAAAGGCTGCTCGAGGTGTCCCTCCATGCTGATGTCTCGCCAGGGCTTTCTAAATGGTTGGTTCAGTTGGCTGGTCCTCCACCTACATTGAGGTTTTCTTGCTCAGAGCCAACTCTTCCTTCATCCCCTGTAAGGATGTGGTGTGCTGAGCAAACAGATCCTGAAAACTGAGTTTCTTATATGTTGGCCGGGAATAGCTAAGGAATGGGAAACCTGAGAGAGGCCTCGAAGAGTTAAAATTACATTTTGCCTCTCAGGCGGAGATTTATCTGAAGTCTGCAAACTTGCCAAGATGAAGATTTGCTGCCCTGATTCCTGTGCCCTTCTAGGGACACTAAGAAAGAAAACCACTTCCCCCTTGATCCTATTTTCTGGAATAGCCTCTTCTTCCTCGGAATAGCCTCTTTCTCTAAAGAAGCTCCACTAACACCTGAATAAGTTACACAAAAAAGTAGTGGCCTGAATCTCTGTGCCCCATTTCACACCCACACCTTTTGCTTGATCCAATCCCTTATCTGCTTTAATTGTAAAATCACAGAATCCTTTCTTTTCCCCCTTCAGATCAGCACAGGGGCAGTATTTACTTCTGATTCATTCCAGTTTAGCTATTTAAATCTTTCCCCGTGTTTCACAGTTACCATTTAAGGTTGGTCTTGCCCTGAGGCTGGTGTTCATCCCAGAATAGAATTCAATAATACAGAGAATATTTGCCAGCCCTTTATGACTGACCAGAGTGTTTAAAAAAATAGATATAAATCTCCCAGCAGCGTTTCCGCTGTTATTGATTTCTGATAGTGGCTGTTTCTCTGTGGTAGGTGTTGTTTATCTCTCCCTGTGACAGGACAGACTCTCC